GCCCCGGCCACGCGCGGCCGCGCGCTCCTCCTCCGTGAAGGCAAGAAGACACGATGGGCAACTTGGCGGGCGCGCAACGAGCAGGGTGGCGACGGCGGCGCGTTGTCAGTAGGGCGGCGCGGCGGAGCTGTGTGAGCAGAGGGCGGCGGAGGAGCCAGAGGCCGGCGTGCGGCAAGGAGGCGGCCGGCCGGCCGCGACCAGCAAGGGGGGCGAGTATGTGGGCACGTGGGTGGGGACCGGGAGGAAAAGTATGAAGAGACAAGTGAGAGGCTGACAGTGGGCCATTGACATGCAAAATCTTCTCTCTCCGCCCCCAACAGCCCCCCGGTGGCCTGGGATCGCCCTAGTACCGCCGGCTATGTTTTTTGTTAAATCCGGCGTTTTTTAAGGTCGTGGGGGCGTAAGTGGAGAGTTTTTCGCCCGCCGGCGCTGAAAAAGTGTCTCTGGGGGGCTTCTTGGGGAGCCTAGTGGAGATGGCCTTACTCCCTCTTCGCCACAACCCGTGGATAATGCAAGCACTGTTCCTACCGCCCCAGGTCAGTGAGTGCTTCTCAACAAGACACACTCTATGCAGTTTAAATTGGACAAGCTAGGACTTCTTTGTAGACCGAACCCAGATTTGCAGCACAACAATTTCACGCTGAATTTTCCTGGTCTTTCGACTGGCAAGCCCGCACTACTGCACCGACCATTGTCCACATTGTCTTTCAGTTCCTTCTAAAATCTCAGTTCATCAACAAAAAATAAACACATCAAAAGTTGAACAATAGTGTTAGTTCAACCGATGGAAGGAACCCAGCAAAAAGAAGTGCATATGGTTTAGAGGTATATAAAGAGAAAGAGTGAGCAATGTTCAACATATCTGTTACATTAGCAGCGTGATAGGTGTGATGCGGCCGAATGGTGTGTAGTTCATGAGGAGTGGCAATTTATGTTTCTCACACTGGCCAACTGTGCATCGTTGTTCGCATGCTGATCACATGCATATGTGCTGGGGTAAATATTTATTCTTAGTTCAAACCTACGTTGCATGGATAATTCAGAAGGTGCGTGTATCCAGCCGGATACTGCCCCGATACGTGATTTATAGATTTAAAAAAAAAGTAATGTTTGATACATCTAGGATTCCTCTGGGATACGTTTTATTTGTGAACTGGTTGTGAACTCTTGTTTTCGTTTGTGGACAGATTTATAGTATAGGGACCTGAACCTAAATTATAGTATTTATCTATCAATTCGACTATGTGTGTGTGAATCTGATGTGAGAATTGTGAATGTGGTTACCATATTTGTTAAGCAATTATGTCCAATCATCGACATCGTCCAGAAGGAAGAATAAATTAAACAAAGAAATACAGTATTTGTTAAGAAACTATGAAGAGTTAAATAAAACAGTACGTTTCCTACCAAAAAATCATTACTTTTTCTTGTTTGAAAATAATTAATATGTATATAGAAACATATCCCCCTATCCAAATGTTTAGAAAATAGGTGTATCGAACGTATCTTATCGCGTATACGATACGTATCCAAGTATCCATGCAACATAGACTTCAAACTAAAATCTCAGCTCATTTTACCGAAAAAGGCTTCCGCCCCGCTTTATATATGAAGCAAAAATCACCAACATCCCGAAACAGACGCACACCACAACAACAACGCACACAGGCAATGCATGATACACAGACGCTGAACGCAGCAACACCACCCCTAACTACGAAGAGATGAAGCCGCATATGACGACCCGTAAGCTCCAAGGCGGCGCCTTCAGCAAGGGTACGACACCGGAGCGCCGCCACCGCCCGATCCAAGGATCAGAGTTTCCCCTAGAGCACACGATGGACGATGAGAGCCGCGACGACGCCTTCAAGAAGGGAACGAGTTTCGCCGCCGCCGGTCTGTCCGTAGAAAGAACAAGTTTTCACCCCGGCCACCCCTCACCGCCACCGAACGCCGCACCCCGGCAGCCACGCCGCCCGCACGGCCATGGCCACCGGGCAGCAGCAAGCCGCGGGCTCTGCCCAAACGCACCACGCTACCACCCCCGGGGCCGCCGCCCCGGCAACCAAGACCTTGGCACCACCTAACCCGAGACCCGCCGCTACCCCAACCGAAGAGACGACTGGAAAGGCCCCGCCTTTCGCACCCTTGGACGTCCCCCAGTGCCGAGACCCAAAAGGAGAACCATCGCCGCCGAAGGCTTCACGAGCCACAAGAACCACCCGCAATCGCGGGATCCAATTGGCAGTTGAGGAACACGGCCGGAGCTCCACCACAATACCACATGCTCCTCTCCCCTCGGGCCCGTCTCCACTGCCGACCACCATCGAGAGTAGGGAGCAGCACCCTACACCACAGCTTGTATCAGATCCATGCCCGAGCCGGAAGGCAGAAGCAGCGACGAGGAGTAGTGACATCTGAAATAGAGGCGAGCGAGCTGCGTCGGCGATCCGTGTCGACTGCAGCGATGCGTGCAGTGGCGTCGAGGACGTCGCCTAGGAGGAATATAGGACGAGTGCACTGAGGGGAGCCTGGCCCATGAGCGACGGTGAGGGACATCGCTGGATTTAGGGAGAATCGAAGGTGGCGGCGGATCGTCATGGAAGTCAGATGAGAAAGAGGGGAATCGGGGGAGAGAGATGGCAGATGAGATAGGTGTTGGTACAGGGAGGTTTGATTTATTTTAGGAAGAGGAGGTTGGCTCTAAGCGCGGAAGGCTTGGGGACGAGGAGTTTACCTCTAAGTGCGGAAGGTGGAAGGTGGGATAAACAACACATCCTACAGTATCGGTGGTACAAATGCGTTGGTATAGGGGGGTTTTGTTGTAGTGATGTAAAGCCGTTTTTCTACTACTACTAGTGTTTAGTGGTCATGTATGCATGTGTTGTATATAATGCATCGGTATACATAACTTAAAAAAACGAACGTACTAATTAAGTATTTTTGCAAACTACAAAATTAATTTCACCATTGATCATCTATCTTGGTTGAAGAGATTTTTAAATTAAGCCTTATAAACCAGAAAGGAGCAAGTACTATGCAATGCGGAGATAATATCACGAGGTTGTATCATATGCATAGTACTGGTTTATTTTTCGATAAAGGAAATATATTTGTGAAGTACCAATATATTAATAGCACTACTGACTTATGATGCTATCCACTATGAGCAGCCTTACTGGGATCAGTATTATTAGTAGGTGTTGTGCAGTGTGCAGAGACAGAATTGAAGAGCTGCTGCCCGCCAGAGGAGGAGCTGCTGCTCACAGAAGTCGACGCGTCCAAGAAATACCGAGGCGGTGGAGGGAGGGACGTATCCACTGTTGGCCCATCCTCTACAATGAATACTGCAGCCATGCCCATCGACAAATGGAACTCATAGTGGCAATGTATGAGCCATGTTCCTGTGTGGCATACGAAACAACCATGCATTAGTTCTCTGGAGTCTATCTTCCGTATTCAACTAAGGAAAATTTATGAGTACATACACAAGGAAAACTACCAATTAAATTAAAACTTAACTCTATTTTTAATTGTTCAATAAATACCCTAGAAAACTCATCAATTAAGTGTAGTCTTAACTTGATTTTAAATTGTTCAAGAAATAATTTTTCAAACTTTGACCCAACCATATATAAAAATATATTATGTAGGAAAGATAGTATACATGAAACCCACTTTACTAATGTGTGGGTAGTTTCCTTTAGGCAAATCGTCACATTTTTCATGTAAATTGTTGGTCACAGAATCATTTTGTCATTGTCCTATTTGGAAATCCAGGTATGTACAGTCTGCAAACGATTATTTGACCAATAATTCAGTGGATATCCAGGTAGTACACGGTCTGCAAAACGATTCTGATATTCAGTAGATAAAGATGCTTTATTTTCGTTTTCCATTTCAGTGGATATCCAAAGAGAATTTACAGTTTTCATGACACATAAGAGGGACGGAGCACAAGCAAAATCACTCTTATACGCACCTGGATTGTCTGCCACGAATCGAACGGCTGCCCACCCAAGACTAGGGACGAGGACGGTGTTCTTCCTGGGCGGGTTCACTAGGTTGTACCTCGCCGAATCCCTGGCAGCGTCGTAGTTGCCGAGCCCCTGCGCGAGCACGAACATGTCATGGCCGTGCAGGTGCATCGGGTTGGAATCGCCCTGAAGCATCGCCGTGCCTTGGAACACCACGTCCACCGCTGTGCCGTGCCTGAACCGCCGCACCACAGTTGCCCTGGACGTCGGCTCCAGCAGCATCTCCTCGGGCCCGAACGTGATAAGGGCGCCGTCGGTGTAGTTAAACGCCCTTGGCGGCCGGTCAGCAAGCTCCCTCATGCCCGTGCCTGCGGGGGCGCAGCCGTAGTAGTGCGCTTGGAGGAACGGAGTAGTCATCGCAGCCGGGAGATGGAAGGAGATGTTGTTCATGTTGGCCACCAGCATGCTCTCCAGATTGCCCCCCCTCTTGCAGGACTGGCCATTTCCCCGGCAGATGGAGCCCAAGCCGAGCGTGATGAAGAGGTGCTCATCGGCACGCACCGGCACCTGCGCGCGCTGCTCTTGGCGAAGGCTGCTCAGGTTGCCGTGGAAGTAGAAAGACTTGATCGTGTCATGCTGGTTAGGCATCTCAGGCGCTGCGGCAGGAACATCGTCACGCCTTGAGGTATTGACGCTGCTGTACTCAACCATCCCTCTGGTGGTGTACTCGGGCGTCTGCAGGTCGGGCGGAGGCGCTTGGATGGGCAGGGCGACCATGTAGTACCTGCCGGGGGCCGCGTCAGCAATGACAATGGCGTCCACCGTCTCACCTGGCGCGATCACGATGACGTCCGTGGTGTAGGGGTTGACGTAGTTGGCATCGCTGGCGACCACCATGAACTTGTGGCCGGCGATCTTGAGGAAGTACTCGGAGAAGAGCGCCGCATTGATTAATCGCAGCAGGTACGTCTTGCCAGGCTCCACGTCCAGCACGTAGCCATCTTCCAACACGCCTTCAATTCAGAGTTGAAGAATCACTGCATTCAGTAAAGTAGCTAGAAATCCTTTTTCAACGAGCATAGAGTATATACATTCTCGACGTGTGGAGCTGCTATTGATATGTACTATGTAGACCGGAAAAAAATTATTTGAGACCAGGTCTCACGGTTAGCAGGTGAGACCCACCCTGATGGATGACATGTGACATTCATAAATCACACAAACATCTAATCTGCCCCACCCTGATTTCAGGTGAGGGGTGGGGTAGATGCTTTGTGATTTGTGAATGCCACGTGTCATCCATCAGGATGGGTCTCACCTGCTAACCCGTGAGACCTGGTCTCATAGAATTCTTTTCCATGTAGACCCTCCGTCAATAAGTATACTGAAGGACTTCTGAGTTTGCCCTAAGTAAAACTATTCCATGTTTTATTGCGGGTGAAACAATTCTATGTTTAAAGCATTTTCATTACCTCATGCAAAAAAACTACCCCCTCGGTTTCTAAATATAAGCCTTTTTAGCATATGTAGTCCTTATTGGAATATCTAAAAAGACTTATATTTAGGAACAGAGAAAGTACTAGTAAAAGGGGCTTTACGGAGTGTCCATATAATTTAGTTGAATTTCTTAGGTGAGGTCTTTCATCAGTTCCTATAAACTTCTACTACAAGTGGTTCTCGGCGGTGGCATGATAGCGATGGTGAACCCACGCGAAGGCTGACCATGAACGACGATGGTTGGCGGCAGCGGCACGGTGGTGGCACAGTGGACTCCGGTGGCACTTAGATTTTATGGGAAAGGCCATCTGTCTAGGGAGTTTACAAGAATTTACAGGATCCCATAAAAAAATTGCGTGTTTACGACAATTGTTGTGGAGTTTTTCTTGGCCCAACTTCTCGGAAATGGTGGTTATTTTTTGAACACTGGAACTATTGAGATGCTCTTATAATCAAGTTTGTAGCTATAAGTATAAACAATCCCAAAAAGGTAGAAGTATTAACATCTAACAAGTCAAAGAAACTTTACAAAACTATATATTTGAAGACAAATTTTACGTGCACCTTGAAATATCCAAGCCCAATATATAATAAGTGGATCGCTAACTAAAGTTTCAACTAGTTCAATGAAATAAGACAACCTCAAAACGACACATATTTAGGACCAAGGGCAACTCTAGCCGATCCCCTAAAGTCTATTAGGGAGTATATTTTCGAATTTACTCCTCTAGTGAACCTAGTCGATCACCAAAAATCTATAAAGGAGTGTAATTTACTCCTCCACCGAAAATCCCCTCAAAACCGCCTGAATATACTCGGCGGTTGCACGGACATGCAAAAGTTGTGTGCCTCTTTCTCCTGCCCTCGCGATTGCGTCATTCCCGCAGTTGTCGCCCCCACGCGCCTCCGTCGCCACCGATGACTGGTCCCGTCGCCGAAATGGATAGCCACCCCGCTGGCCACCGCTTCGCTGCCGGAAACCACCCCATGCCGCCACCTCAGCCAAAGAAGAGGTTGGGGATAAAAAAGTTGCACCAGCCACAAATACCGGCCGCAGGGGTGGCCACTTCATGTTGGGCGATGGTCAGCCGCCCTCTCCAGCGGCAAGAGAGATAGAAAATCGATAGCTGTGGGGACGGCCCTCGCCAAGGAGGCCGCAAAGTAAAATAAGAAGAAGGCCACTCCGGGCCCCCATCCACGTGACGCCTCGTGCACCATCTCCGGCCACTCCTACGGCTGCTGCTCCGGTGCGTCCGGATGACGCAGCCGGCAAGGAGAGTCGTGGCCGCCAAGTGCTCGAGGAAATGCCAACAAGGTAAAAAAACATATTTTACATTTGAGCCAATGAATTTGATGGTGCTTGTTGGTGGAAGATGATGATGGGGTTTTGTGGTTTTGTTGTCGTGGAGTGGAGATGAACACGTCGGAATTATTGTCATCTTTGGGGCCCTCGGGTAGGGTGGGACTAGATGATCTCAATTATGATTCAACTTGGGATCACTCGGGGGTGGCCGAATAAATGGAGGTGGCAGAAGAGGAGATGTAAGAAGAGGAGTTGGCCGTAGAGGAGGTGGCCAACAAAGATGAACTTGGGGAGGTGTCCGAACTCACAACAACAATCAAGTTGAATATGTGGCTCTATGCTATGCTTGGATGAATATCTCCATGAATCCAACGGTTGGAATGAATCAAACCAAGGCTATGTTTTGGGAGAGAATTGTAGAGTACTACAAAAACTCCTTGGAGGTATAATCAAGGCATACGCAAGGGTCTCTTGGGCATCTTTGGGGCACCATTCATGACCAATGTAACCAATGATCCTGTTGCATCAATTAAGTGAATCATGCACCACCGAGCGGTATGCATGTCACGGAGTATGGCCCATGCATCCAAAAAAACTTTTCAAGCATGGGAACAATATTTCGGCCACAAGTCGTTCGCGTTGCATCATTGCTATAAAGAGCTTTGCAAATACCAGGAGTGGATTGAAAGAGATGCGGAGACCACTCCAAAGAGATCAAGGTTGAGCATATCCGTTGAGGAAGACGACGAGGTGGATGAAGAGGCCATCAATAGACTTGAAGGGAACCAAATTACAAAAAAGAAAAAGAAGAGGAATGCATACGTTAGCAAATACAAAAAAGAATTTGTTGCCATTATTGAGGCCAAGAACGTGTTGGCGATGAACACGGACAAGAGAAGATGACGAAGTGAAATGACCTCAATATGTTGGAGGATGAGAAATGGAAAACCAAGTTGGCGTCTGAAGAAAGAAAATTGAAGGCGGAGGATCATGCTACCATGTTCACGAATCCAACCACAATGGATGAAACCGCAAGAAAATATTGGGAGAACACTCGTGGAGAGATTTTGACCTGGATGACCTAAAGCGGTAGGGAGTATAAGACAAAAATACTGTTCATTACCGGAGCAATTGAAGAGATCTCCAAGCTTGCCGTTGATTGTGGACCCACTCGAGAATTCATCAAGGTAACCCTTACTAAAGTTCCTGTCCAACTGTGCAAGGTCCTTCTCCCACCACTCCCCTGACACGACAAGAAAAGCTCAGTTAAGAAACTCTCCTACATAGAACATGCCCATATCTTAAACGATCATCAAATGCATGTTGATATTATTCATTTATTCTTGGAAAATCGAACCTATGATAATTGGGACCTCCATGTGAGGCTTAGGAAACGGATAGGAGCCTGTGCCGTCTCTGGGCCATATGACCAAAGCGCCGTGCACGGTTGCCCGGAGGAAGGCGTCATGAGCATGCCACCACAGGGTGCCTACCTGCCCGGCAACGTCGAACTGGTAGGTGAAGTTGTGGTTTGGCTGGATGGGGCGTTGTGTGATCATCGGCACCCCGTCGTTCCAACAGTTTAGCAGCTGCAACACTCCATGCCTTTTGTATATTAAAGATT